TTAAAAAGTGTCTGACTGTTCAAGAAGGAGGGTCCTTAACACAGAGCCCGTCTGTGATTTGGTGTTTGGGTATTAATAGATACAGACTCTAGCACAGTTGCTTTTGGTTTTGTGCCTCTTGGTGATGGAAATCTTTCCCCTGCCCTCCTATACTCTGTGCCCCTGCCCTCCTGTACTCTGTGCCAAGCCCTGGCCAGGACCTCACAAGACATCCTGTGTCCAGGACTCCTTAGTGCCCAATAAGTGCAGTCAGGAGCCTTCGTTCCTCTACTTGACAGAGTGGTTATTCCTGGGCCATGTTGACTTCGCAAAAATGAACATGACTTTCAGGGTGAGGTTGTACCCTCGTGTAGGCCAGTATTTTGTGAAACATTTCCTAAAGTTGTGCTTTCTGCTAAAGTTTGATCTTTGCTTGGTAGGACATCTGTGAAATACCTAGACTGCTTATCTCAGTTTTCATTTTCTTATACTCACTGTTGTAATCCAAAACATGTCTGAGACAGGTCTCAATCAACTGAGGGGTTTATTTTGCCAAAATTAAAGATCATGACCCATGACACAGCCTCAGGAGGTCCTGAGAACATGCGCCCAAGGTGGGTGGGTTACAGCTTGGTTTTGTACATTTTAGGGAGGTAGAAGTCACAGGCAAAGATGTAAATTAATACATGTAAGGTATACATTGGTTTGGCCCAGAAAGGTGGGACAGCACAAAGGGAGTGATGGGGTTACATGTCATAGGTGAATTTAAAGACTTTTCTCACTGGCAGTTGGTAGACAGAGATTAATTATTATATAAAGACCTGGGATCAATAGAAAAGAGTGTCTGGGTTAAGATAAGGGGTTGTGGCGACTAAGATTTGTATTATGTAGATGAAATCTCATATGTGGCCATCTTTAGAGGCAATAGATGGCAAATATTTCCTAGTCAGATAGGTAAAAGGTGCTAGACTCTCAGCTAATCTCTTCAGGATCAGAAAAGGACTTGGGAAGGAGATTCTATACAGAATGTACATTTCCCCCACAAAAGAAGCTTTGCAGGGCTATTTCAAAATATGTCAAAGAAATATATTTTGGGGTAAAATACTTTGATTTCCTTTTAGGGCCTGCTATTTGTTATGTGATATATGTGATGTTATATACCAAAGTCAGGTTGGAGTTGGTATCTTATTGCTACAAAAAGAGTTTGTTTTGTCAGTCTGAGGATCTTTATTTTAATATTGGTTGGTTGTGTGCCTGAACTCCAAAGGGAGGAGAGTATAATAAGGCACATCTGACTGCCCCCCAACCCCTGCCTGTTCCCATGATGGTCTGAACTAATGTTTCAGGTTTCATTGGGTCCCTTTGGATGAGAGGAGGGTCCATTCCATCAGTTTGGGAAACTTTGAATTTTATTTTTGGTTTACGCTTTTGATAGTACACTGCAGTCCTTCAGATGACCTAAAGTTGGTCCTGAGCACACTGTTTCTTTACATTTATGGGGGAAACTGATGGTAACAACATCAAGTGTGAACATAGAATAATTCAATGTGATATCCCTCCTGGCTAATCAGAGGCCCTGGCAGACAGCCAGGTTGCCAGAAAAGCATTTATGCAAAAAAAAAACCTGGTGACATGTGTCTTGGAAAAGTGGCATTAGATCTGCTGTCAGTATGTAACAGAGAGAGAGACTGCAACTCATACAGGGTGTGAGTGGAAGGGAGCGAGTGGGGAGAAAAGACCAGAGAGTCAGGTAATTGAGAAGACACATTCTCTCCTCATGACCAACCTATCCATTTCTGAGAATAGGGGCTGCAAATATAGCATCCTGGATTGTCTCTGTTTGTCTGTCAATGTGTGTGTTTACTTAATATTCACACACACTCCTTCTCCTGGGGCTTGGTGTCACAGTCATTATCCTTCCATCGGAGACTGGCTGCAGCTTCCTGTGGAGACCAACCAAGCGTCTCCTTAATTGGCTGGTAAGGTCAGCATGCAGTTGACATGCACATTCCTGCTGTTTTCCCTTCCCCGCTTTTTGAC